ACCTTTTTCATTTATTTAAAAGTCGAATTTTAGACTTTTCGACTTTTAGTATTTTATAAATGGTCGACCTTTCGACCTTTCGACTTTTTCCGACTTTTCGACTTTTTCCGACTTTTTTCGACTTTTCGACTTTTTCCGACTTTTCGACTTTTTCCGACTTTTTTCGACTTTTTTCGACTTTTCTCGACTTTTCGACTTTTCGACTTTTTCCGACTTTTTTCGACTTTTCGACTTTTTCCGACTTTTCGATTTTTTACGACTTTTTGACTATTTTCGACTTATTTCGACTTTTTTTCGACTTTTTTCGACTATTTTTTTACTTTTTTCAAGTTTTTTCCGACTATTTTAGAGTTTTTGACCTCTTTTCCACTTTTTTAAAATTTTCGACTATTTTCGACTTTTTTCGACTTTTCGACTTTTTTCGACTTTTCGACTTTTTCCGACTTTTCGACTTTTTTCGACTTTTCGACTTTTTTCGACTTTCTTCGACTTTTTACGACTTATCGACTTTTCGACTTTTTTCGACTTTCCGTCTTTTCGACTTTTCGACTTTTTTCGACTTTTATTTACAAAGTCGACTTTTCGACTTTTTTCGACAAAAAGTCGATTGTTCGATTATTCGAAAGTCGATTTATAGAACCCTAGACTATAGTCTAGTCTACATAGAAATATTTTGCAAAAACTTCTTGTTTTATTTGCGGTTTGTTATTTTTTCAAAATTTTGGCTTGAGATTATTAAAGTTTTTAAAATAAAACAAAATTTTTATACAGTTCTTTGATAAGTTTTTTATACTAAAACCACAATAAAACCTTGGAATTTTGATAAAAATTATGTTAAATATATACAAAAAATGCTTAGTTACTTATTTAGGGTCTTATTCATAAACTTTTATCAAAGGTTTATAAATCAAATTTCATACAAAATTTGTTCTATAAACCTTTGATAAAAGTTTATGAATAAGTCCCTTAAAATATAATTCTAGTAAAAATTTAGTACTTTTGTTTACTTTAAGCTAAACAGCTTTACAATTTTTAATAGGTGGCTCCCTATTTGACACTAATTTTTGTTATCATCTTACATTTCTGTAAAAAAGAGAACAGAGAAGATACCTTTCTTTTCAATTTGCTTGTTTTTGTTGTTGGTATATTTTACATTTCTTTTCACTTTTTTTTTCTGTAGTAAGTACGTAGTATGTTGTTGTTTTT